TCTGTCACTGCCGCCATATCTTTCCCTTCTATTTGCCAGGAGGTGATGGGACCAGTGGCAATGATCTTAGGGTTTTTTTTTTTTGAGAAGGTTTAGCCTCTTAAAAATAGAGATGGTGGCAGGACAGGTTGGTCCTCAATTCCTCATCCTTCATTCCAGTCCTTTTATCTCTCTGAATATCCACCAAGGCTTCTTCTATGATCTGAGAAATGAGCTGTGTATGCTCAGAGGTACTCTTTTTCTGCTTGTTGGCTCAATAGGTCCCAGGGCTAAGTCCTGGAAGGTGGGCGCCCGGTTCTAAGACATAGGACTGATGGTAAACCTACTTTGAAAAAAAAGATTATGTGTGTGTGTGTGTGAGAGAGAGTGAGTTACTGCCACACCCTGGACTCCATAGGACCAGTCCTTGTTTTTAGGCAAGTTCCTTTTAAAGTTCCTCATTTATTTGGCTTACGGAAATTTATACACCGCTGACATCTGGCTATTTCCAAGCAAGCAGTGCACAAAATTAAAATACAGCGTTTATATTGTATTGAGACGGTAGCTTCAGTCTGCTGAGATTGTATGACACAGGGATTATGCCGGCTGGGGGATTTAAAAAAAGGGGACTTTTCTGGTCATGTGTAACTTGAATTTGTCACTCGTCCTTGAGATGTTTGTCGGCTATGAAGGATCAAATATAAGCTTGGTTGAACCAAGAGTTATGCCTGCTTTTGTCTCGAAGTCGAGTGGCTAGAGGGTTACAACCTAGCAGATGGTTCTGACTATAATTCTTGATGGTTTGCAGTTAGCCCCACTCTTCTCCCAGTCGCTGTGCCTGTTCTTATTAGGGCTGTCACTCCCAGGGGCCATGCCGGCCTCAACACACCTGATTTTGTTTTAATTGTGGCTTCCAGCCAGGATCAGGACTGGCTACTACACAGAAGAGAAACGGCTTGGAAATACTGAGGATAAAATTGTAAAACTGGGCTCATAGTGGCATTCTATTGTGTTTTTGGACTACGTCTTCCCAGAATTCTCCAAAAAATCCCCTAGGGCAGAATTTTGGGAGTTTCAGCCCGTAGACACAGCTCTGTAGACCTCTAGATTTTGTGCCCCCCACCCAAGAAGGGTTTTTGGCTGCACTCCCACCATGGACTTCTCCAGCTTTTGTCTCCTGTTGTTAATTTTTTCTTTTTGTCATTGCTTCCTGGGAGTCTTAGTTTTTAGGGAAGCGCCTTCTATAGAAGTTATCGGGCAGGGAAACTGTGACTCCCAGCATCTTCTGAGCCCAAGAGGGCCTGGCCCCCGCTGGTCCCTCCCATGACGCTACATGGTGGTTGACCTCCTGAATATGGAGGCTGCTGGGAGTCATAGTCTATTCAGTGCTGTAGGGGGCGCCTCCTGAAGAACTACAACTCCTGGGAAACACTTCAGCAACTTTTTTGGGGAGGGAAGATTAACAGCAGGAGGCACAGGCGAAAGAAACCAATGTGCTTTGAGTCCTTTTGGGGAGAAAGGCGGAATAGAAATATTTTAGCTAAATCGAATAAATTTGGGAGGACAGCAGCATTGGAGGCCCATCACCCAAAAATCTAGAGGTCTGCAAATTTGCGTCAACGAGCTGAAACTGCCCGGCAGGCTGCCCCGGGGAGTTCTTGGCGAATTCTGCAGAATTTTGCAGTCCAAAAAAAGCACAAAAGAGCACACGCCAACGGGTGATTTAGGCCAACCCTTTTCTGCTGATGCAGGAAATCCACGCCCAAAGCGTCCTTGACAGAGAGCCGTCCAGCCTCTTGTTTCGAAACCTCTGATGCTCTAGAAAAGCTTCCCCACTGTCTGTTTTGCCGGGTTACCCAGGGAGGGTTAAAGAAGACATCTTTCCTGAAGAGGGGACACGGCTGCCTGCCAGAGCTCACCATCACGGACCGAGGGTCCCATCCAGAGAAAGACAGCTCCTTACACCCTCCCTCCCTCTCTGTCGCTTCCATTCCTTCTCCCACATCTGCCTCCTTCATCGTCTTTCTCCCTCCTTGTCCCACATCTGTCTGTTCTCATGTGCATCCCTGTTGACCCCTCTGGCTATAACCACGGTGGTAGCCATTACTGCTGCCTTTGCCCCCTTCCTGTGGGCTGCTCTGATTTTCCCAGAAATGTTCCTCTTGCTCTCTTCCTCTCCGCTTTGGACCAAAAACTCCCAGAATTCCACCATAGTCGGCTGGGGGGATTCTGGGAGATGCCAATAGAATCCAGTTACCAAGCTGTGCCTTTTCTCCCCCTGCTCTTTCTCCACCTTCCTGCCTCTCCCTTCATAGCGCTGGACTTCTTTTCTACCCGTCCATCTGTTGTCCCGTGGAAGTCGGTTCCTGGCGTTCTCTTCCAGCTCCCTTCTCCCTCCCTCCCTCTCTGTTTCTCTCCCTGGGCCTTTGGGTGCTCCCAGATGCAATTCTGTACTAATTATATGTTCCTGCCTCTAACTGCCACATTGTGCATGATAAACAAAAAGCTCCGGTTTTATTTAATTAAAGACCTGGTAGAATCCACCGGGGAGAATCGTACGGTAAAGACTTTAGGGGCGACGAAGGAGAGGCTGCGTTGCTGCGCAGAGCGGATCCTCAGGGGGGGACCAGATCCGTCCTGTGGGGCACCGATTCCTTCCTCCATGGCTGAGCTTTGCAGAAAAATTGTGTCCTCCTTCCGTCCCTCTCCAGCGTTGCTTCTTTAGATCCATTGATTCTCCAGGACGGCTCGTCCCGAGGGGCTTGGTTCTGCACTACAACTCCCAGAACCCAGGTTTGGAGCTTCCGAGAGCTGTAGTCCCAGAACATTGTTCTTCCGAGGCCTGCCCTCCTGGGCTCAAGAACAGAAGAGAGCGAAACCGGGTGGCCAGCCCCAGATCGCCAGCGGGAAAGACAGAAGAGAAGGTCGCCGATTGGCATGGAATTGATGGAGACGATTTAGAACAGGCACAGAGGCAAAATTAGAACAGAGTGGCTGCACTGCTCACCTTAAGTGGGGAAGGGAGGGCCCACCTGCATTTCCAAAGCTGCTCTGTGCAGGCAACGGGCAGCGTCTCCAGATTGTGGAATCCCCAAATAATGGAGTCAGAAAGAGCCCGTAAGGCCATTGACTCCAACCCCCTTCTCAAGGCTGGGATCCAACTCAGAGCAGAGGTGACAGATAGCGGTCCCATTTTCTCTTGAATGCCTCCAGCACCGGGAGCAGCGCTCACCACCTCCCGAGGTCATGGGTCCCACTGTCATACTGCTCTAACAGTTGAGAAATTCTCCCCCCTCCCCGGTTTCCCTCCCGTTTATGGCTCTTTTTTGGCAGCCTTTCCATGTGAAGGACATCCCTAAAAGAGAGCATATATCTCTTGGGTGTGGGTGGGAGGAGGAAACGACACCCTTTTTTTTCCTCCAGCCTACGGAGCTGTTGTTTCCAGCCAGAAGAGATTCTTTCCAGCCCTTCTGGGCATTCCCTTCGGGGTGACAAGCTCTCTTGGTCCAGCCCTGCCTGCCTTTGTCGACATGGGCTTTTACACTCGAAGCTTTTCACACTGGCTCCGAGCGGCTGCCGATCCCCTTTCTTCCAGGGTAGTGGAAGGGAAATGCCAGGGTTGAACCTCAGGCAGCCAGCATCGGAAGCTAAGGAGATCGCTGGGAGAGGCGGCTGCAGCGAGGGCTGGCTGCTGGTAGCCAAGCGGAATGACCCCGCTTGATCTGAGGCCATTAAAGTTCATTCTTCCAGGTCAGGAAAGCTGGCCTGGGCAAGCAGAGGTCACCCTGTGGCCGGGAAAACATGCCACAGCCGAGAGCATGCTCTGCCTTCCTGCTGCCCCCACCAGGTGCTTTCCCAAAGGACGTGGGGAACCGTACAGAGATTTAGACCTGAGGGGATTTGTCTTTTTGGACTACCACTTCCATAATTCCCTGGGCAGCACAGCCACCAGAAAGCACAAAGCTTCACACCTCTGGTAGAGGGCTACGTCTTTCTGCTTATAATCACCGTGACTAATCCCGCCACGTTGCCACGAAGCAGGTGCCACCGGGTGCCTCTTTTACCAGTCCGCCCCCATCCCTGGACCATCCTCCTAGTATTTCCCAGCAGCTGGCACAAAGAGACAGGCGGTCTTTGGTCCTGGAAGGGGACGCATCAGTGTTGTGTTGAGTAGCTGCTGTGTGTGTGTGTGTGTGTGTGTGTGTACCAGACCTCCCTCCATTGACCTCTTGTGTGGTCCTCCATGGTGGGAGCTATCGTGACATCCAGTGGTAGGGAATTCCGTAGTCAAACGGTGAAACAGCGCTGTGTTATACCCGTCCCGGATTTCTCCCTGCTCAATGTTGGCAGCCGTGACCTCTTTGGGGTCTTTAGGAGCGGACGTTGGACTCCTGTTCATCTAGACAATCCTTGCCGGATTGTCGTCTTGCTCTTGACCTCAGAGGCTGGGGCTTCGCAGAGGCCTGTGCAGCGAGAGAGAAGAGACACCCTCGATGCCAGTTTCCTGGTCTGTCGTCCTGCATCACACAGAGGGTGGGGTTGAAAGGGTGTGTGTGTATGTGCGACAAATACCCTTTGGGAAGGAGAAGCCTCCTTTCACTCCAAGGGCATTTCCTCGCCCTGCCCACGGATTACCCTTTTCCTCTTCTCACCCTAACCCCTTCCAGTCCTGCCCCATGTTGGCTTTTAGAAGGAAGCACACGCCACATACGTGTGTGTGTGTGTGTGTGTGTGTGTGTGTGTGTACAGGTTCATGTGCCAAATTTGGAGGCAAGATAGGAGGAGGGCCAATGTTTGGGGATCTCAGGGTGGTGGCAGTTTTCGGGAAGCCAAGCGGATATTAGGCGGAAGGGGAACCTGGTGGGTTGGGGAGAAGGAGACCTCCTTCCGTAGGCAGCATCCTCCATCCTTCCCTTGGTCCCTCCTGTCTGTGCCTTTGCTTCGCCTCTCATTGACTTTTTTCCCTTCCGTTCTCTCTCTCTCTCTCTCTCTTCCCCTTCGCCCTGTCTCTCCACCCGTAGGTGTGTTTCTGGAGCCGGGCTGGACGGGGCTTGCTCTCCGGAGCCACCATGGAACGCAACAGAGGCCTTTCCTGTGCCCGAAGTCCTTCTTGTGCTTCCCCCTAAGACCGCCTGGTTTCCCCATCTTCTCCGCTCGGGCCGCTGCCTCCTCTCCCGGGCATCTCTTCCTCTTCCTCTTCTTCTTCTGCTCCGCCGGCCGGCCACCACCTCGGTTTCGTCCTTTCCCCCTTCCGTGAGGAACTCTTCTCGCTGTTCTCCCAGGCCCCCTTTTTTTGCCCTCCCGCGGCCGCCATGTTTCTCCCGCCCTCGAGTTTCGTCTTCCGGGTGCTGAACCTCCGGACGGGCGCGGCACTGCTGTTTTGGCTGATGGGCTTGGCTCTGCGCTCGATGCCCCTCGCGGGGCAGAAGCCCGAGGACAAGTACCCGGTGGTGCCGACCAATTACGGGAAGCTCCGAGGGATCAAGAAGGACCTGAACAACGAGATCCTCGGCCCGGTGGTGCAGTACTTGGGCATTCCCTACGCCACGCCGCCTGTCGGGGACAGGCGCTTCCAGCCCCCCGAGGCGCCGGCTTCCTGGTCGGAGGTGCGCAACGCCACCGCTTTCGCCCCCGTCTGCCCGCAGAACATCCACGGCATGCTGCCTGGCATTATGCTCCCTGTCTGGTTCACCGACAACCTGGAGGTCGTGGCAGGATACGTGCAGAATCAGAGTGAAGATTGCCTCTACCTCAATATCTACGTGCCCATGGAGGACGGTAAGAGTCCTGGGGGGGGGGAGGCGGGGAGGGCGAGGGGATGGGGCTGTGCCTGCCGCTTTACACCCCCCCTCTCCTCCCCTCTTCACCAGCATGATGGGCTAGGGAACACCTTCCTTCCCCCAACCCCCTCATCCCTCCGAGGGTCCTTCCTCTCCGTCAGATGGTAAACTCCCCACCACCGCTAATGGGGCCCCCCTGCCGTCTGGACTAACCATCGCCCTTTTTGCTCACCTGAAACCCCTTGGGGCGGGGGCGCCGTTATCCTGCCCCCCCTCCCTGCGCATCTCAGGCAGAGGATTTTGGGGGACACCCTGAAATGAAACCCACAACTGGATGTTAAACTAGGGCAGGGAACCCCCCCCCCGCACAGTTCTAGCTTGGCCAAAGCAGCTCAAACCGTCCTCGTAGCTGGAGGTTTGTCGCGTGCACACCCAGCCCACGCGAAAACGGAGCCCTCCAAACTTTGGCGGTCTGGCCACGTGAGCGAAGGGCGGTATCCCTTCGCCTGTGGGGCCACCCCGGCAGGAAGGGGCCCGAGGAATCCCTGCGCCCTCGCCCTTTCTCCTCTGGCTGGTTCCAGAGAAGGGCAGAAGAGGGGGGTGGAGGTCCCCCTTGCGAGGCAGGAGAACGAGGGGTTCCCCAGGGTCTCCCCCATTGCTCCCCTGCTTCTCTCCAGGTAGAAACACCCAACCACCCACCGCATTCCTTTCTGTCCCCCGGAGGCTTGCTGTTGTGGTGGTTGGGGCAGAAGAGAGGAGCCCCCCCCCCCGGAGCCGTTAAGGTTTTTCGGTCACCTGCAACTAGCTTTCGGACATGTCCAAGAGCCAGGCCCAGGGCTCTTCTCCCGGAGGCAAAATATAAAGCAGCAAGGTGTGCTGCTTATCGGCCACCCTGTAGCGCTTCTAAAGCACTGGCCGGGCGGTTTATAATTTAATTCCGCAGGCTACACGTTGCTGCCTCCACCCGCACACCCCTCCCCAAAGCACGCTGGGTACTCCGTTTACTGACCTTAGGAGGATGGAAGGCGGAGTGAACCTTCAGCCAGCTGCCTGGGATTGAACCCGGGAGTGAACCTTCAGCCAGCTGCCTGGGACTGAACCCGGGGCCGTGAGGAGAGTTTTGGCTGCAGGACTGCAGTTGAGCCACCGTGACATAAGCCGTCCTACTGGGTGTGGCGTAAGAAGTGCCCTGGGACCGATCTTGGCGCTTCGTCCCTCCAGTTCAGGAGGTCCCATTCTGATGGGGAGATGTGCTGTCCCGGGCTTGAGGCTGGGTGGGTGGGGGGCCGCCTTGGCCCCCATCTGGAGCTGATAGGGACCTGACGCAGGGGCTTTACCACTGAGCCGTAGTGCCCCCCCCTTGAGCCTTTTTCTTGGGGGGGCACCTTGCCTCACAGCGAAGATGTGGGAGACGGAGCCCCTTTTCCTGGACGGCCAGAATGGCCGGTGACTGCCCTGGCAGGATGCGTGCAGCCGGTCTGTGTTTTTTTTCCCCACCGAACCACACATGGACCGACACAAAGGCAGCTTTCTGACCGCAGGGCGGATTTCCGGGGTAAAAGGGCCGGAACGCTGGACACGGGAGACACTTGGTGTCTCTCTACCCTGGAAAGGGGTTCAGAGGTTGGGACGAGTGCTTTTGAGGATGACCACTCCCGGAATCCTCAAAAATACACAACTTTTCCAAGCTTTTTTTTTTGGCAAGAGAGTAGCAGGAAAAAAAAAAAGCTTGTTCCTGGAAACTGTTTTGAATGCCGAGGCCTAGAAGCAAAAGGGCCTGGAAGCGAAAGGCACGCGCTCTGGCTCATTCCACCTTTAACTCAATGCAGAAATATTCGTGATCGCTTCAGAGCCACCCCATGCAGCATCCTCTCCTTAACTTCCCAAACCCTCACTGGCTTCTGCATCCGGGTCTCCAGGTCGATATTATCCCAGCCGTTCAGAGCCGGAAAGGGTCACTCATTTAAAGGGCATGTAAATTTCAGAAATTCCCCTAAAGTCATCATCTTTTTCTCCTCTCTCTTTTGCTCTACTCCCTACTTATTTTTCTAGCTCCCTGTCTATTTTTACCTGAGCTTCCTCCCTTTCATCATCATCATCTCTCTCTCTCTCTCTCTTTTTTCCTTTTGTGCATAAAAACCTTTTCGTGGTTTGTTCTGACATGATGGGTTTTGCATGCTGCTTCACTCTCACCGACGGAGAGGACAGGCAGGGCCGACGGGGATTGCGGGGGGGGGTGAGTGCTGTGTGTTGGTGGGGGAGAGCAAAACAGGAGGAGAAAGCAGAAACAATTTGGGGGACGCCGTTTGAGAAAAACAGGAAGGGTGATGTTTCTAGAATGAGGAGAGCCTGGGGAAGTGACCTGGGTGGACTACGACTCCCATTATCCCCCAGCCAGCCTGGCCCTGCGTAGCCTAAGAGATCGCTTTCCAAAGCCCTACTTGGGTTTTCTTTTACCCCCTAAAAGAAAGCCACTCGGCCAGCCAGTCCACCCCAAAGGAACACTTGGGGGGGGGTTTGATGCCCTGAGTCCCCCACCTTTCTGCCACATTATATTTTGCTGACTTCCCTTGAGAGAGAATTTGGGAACGCATCAGAGAACCCCCCGGTGTCCCTCCCTCTCACCCTTGTGATACCACACGGATGCTCCCTCCCTGTGTTGCATTCTTCTCCACCTGAAAGGTGCACCAGTGGAATGTCTGCCTGCTAGCCTCTGTTTCCCAGCTTCCCGGTGACAACTGAAAACCCGGGATCCCCACCTGTTTAGCCCCCCCTCCCACTCCCTGCTTCTTGCCCAGGGACCCAGGAGGAGTCCGGGTTCCCTGGCATCTTTTTTCTGTGGCAGCTGTTTTGGAGAAGGCTGCATCTTTTTCTCCATCCCCCCCACCCCTCACCCCTTTTCCATCTCCCTTCCCCTGGCCCGGATAAATCCATCCTTCCATCCCATTTTGAACCTCCAGGGAAGCTTCTTCTCTTTCCACCTTCAAGATCCCTTAGAGAAAGGCAGAGAGGGGAAGGGGGGGCTCATCTGATGGGGAGAGGCCCATGGCAG